ATCCAACAACCTGGCTGTGCTGGTTTTAAATGGGCCCAGCAGGACCGAGTGAGTAAAGTTTCTCTACATGATCAACACCTTATGTGATCAGTCTCTGCTTCTGTCAGTGACATTTTCTGATGATTGGAAAGTGTCGCCATCTGTTGGTTGGTGAAATCCCATCTTGGGCTGTAGAGTAACTCTTCCCCATGTCCTCTGCTGTTTGGTTTCAGTAGACAAGTGAGAAACACTGAAAAGGTAAGTCAGTCATATTTGTACAACTAGCATTCTCATGCATTGGGCAGAAGTAGCATAACTCCCTCATCAGGCTTTTAGGGCATTTTTAACCCTTTATAGGGAACTTAGTGAAATACTTTGAAAATCATAATTTTCAGCCAATAGTGTTATTGGAATCCAGGACAAGACATTATTACCTTTGTAAAATTAAAAAAATATGGATATTTTGATGGAAATAAATAATAATAATCATTAAGTCAATGTAATAAATTTAAACGCCAACTTGCCCAAATATATTAAGAAAAGAAAAAAACAAAAGAGCTTCTATAAGAAATTCATGAAAAACACTCTAAAAGTTAAACAAACATTTTTTCTTTTTGTTACAACATACCCCTAGAGGCATTAATGCTGATACTGGCACTTACATTTGTTTATAAACCAAAATATAATTGTTAACTAGGCTTATTAACTTTTTAACTTTATTTTTTTAATTTTCAATTAACTTTTTAAATTTTTATGGGTTTTTTTTCCCAACTTAATTTACAGCAAGTAATATATCATTCAAGGGCTCATCTAATTGTTCAAATGCCAAAAAAGATGTACAGCCATGTAGCAGGATCTTTGCTGAATGGCTGGATATAGATCTTTTGCTTCTAGACCTCACTGAGGGACGGGGGACTACATTTGTAAGGCAAGTGATCAAAAACAGTAACTTGCCATATAAAAGGTTAAAGCCAATTAATATTATCCCAATGTTATTATTCCTGTTGACTTTTGTTTTTTGGAGGGGAGGATAATGCAGCCTTTATTTATTCATTCATTTATTTATTTATTTATCTATTTTTTTTTTCATTTAGTTATTTATTTATTCATTCATTCATTTATTATCTTTGACCAATAGTTACTTTTACCTCCAATACATTCACACGCATATCAGGGGTTTTAATAATAAAATTTGTTCAGTTAAAGTTAAAACTGCTAACAAAAACGTCAAAATCTTCCAACATTCAAAGAAATGAATAGACTAAATGAATGAGTTGCCTTTGACTCCCACAGCAGAAATCTACTGTAGCTCAAGAATTTACTAAACTGCAAAAATTATCTAAAAATGAGTACAAATTTCTTAAAATGGGTGTATTGCCTTAAAATAACATAAATAGATATTGTGCACATGAAGGTTTAGTTGCTTTTTTCTTATTTTAAATGTAAATTGTCTTATTCCATTGGATACGTGTCTCACTTCTCAATGCAAAAAAGAAATGCACTTATTTTAAGAAAATTCGACCTACTTAATTTCAGTTTTTTTCCATGCATAACTTGTCTTTTTTTACGTTCCCAGGCAGAATTCAGCTCACACGCAAACAGTAAGGCTTGAAAAAAACATAAAGAAGTCATGAGTGTAATTAATAAGTTGATAATAATAATATCCTGACTTTAATTCTGCTGAAAAACTCCTTAGGCCCACAGCCTGCCATGCTGAGACATTCCTTGGATTTGGAGACTCATGACTTGGAGAACAGGTGTGAAATGATTCTCAGGCTCATTAGTACAATTATCTTATTCTGAATCCTTACATCTAAATAGTTTTCTGTCTTTATTAGGTTACATCAACATTTAGGTGAGTATGTAAAAAACCTTAATCATCATGAGTACAATCAGTTTAAATAAATAACACTTTACATCTATTTAAAGAAAGGGTGCCATCGAGACGCCATCACGAGTGGCCTCAAACTAAAGAAGACATCGATCAAAATGATTTTGTTCCAATGAGCAGACCTAATGTAAGCCTGTCCGTATAGATTGTATGGAATGTGTCCTCCAGTAAATAACAGCTGATAACATAAGTATTAAATTATCTCTAAATACTGCAGACCTACTGCGAGGAGGACTGGTATATTGGGCCTTGTAATCGCACAGACGCTGAGCACGCCTTACACCTGGTGAACAAGGTACCTCATCATGAAACAAGCTACAACAGTATCATGGCTCTTTAAGTAATGCATTTTGTTGCGTCACAACCACAAACCCCCAAAAACATTTTTGGTGTTGTGCTGCAGCTACAGACGCAAGTTTTATGCTCTATATATATAGTATACCAAGTTTTCACATCGACAAGCTAACATTTTTGCCAACTTAATGCTGAGACTTTCTATTATTATCAGTATTACTGTCCTAATACATAAAAAGTCTTAATCTAAATCTGGCAGGCAAACTTTTACCTAATTTTGTATGTAATAAAGGCTCTACAGAGGCAAAGAAATTATGCCTGCAATCCTCAAGTTTATTGGCATTATGTTTAAAATGCTATTGTGTTTTTGCACAGGTTATAAGGTTTCAGGTTTTAGGTTTTACATTTGGTTCTGAGGCGCCATCTGCTGGTGAAAAGGCGTTAAAGCAAAGTGTAAAGTCGTTGGAGACATGGCTGCTTCAAACCACTAAAGCAGGTTGTTTTTTTTTTTATTTACATAATTTATGTGTGTGGTATTTTAAACCACCTGCAGGACAACCCACATAAAAGCACTATGCATACAACTAGGCCTGAATTAAAGCATGTTTGTGCTGTAGGGCTTCATTGGAAAGTTGGATTTCTGCTTGCAATAAATCAGTTATTTGCAAAATTGGTGATTTCTGAAGAGGAATGTTTGTACTAGATTTTATGAAGTAAAATCCACTACAAAGGAGCTAATAAAATCACACTTTTCAGTTTATCATTTGTGAACTACTTAGAAAATCCTGTATGTACTGGTCTATTAAATAAAATCTCAATGAATAACATTAAAGACTAAATGTGAGGCATGGCATATCATAAAGAGTGTCATATTGATTGCCTTTTCAAGTCTAAAATCTATCATATGTCATATAGAGGTGGTGTAAATTAAATCATGCATCATTTTTTCTCAAATTTCAGCAGCACACAGGTAACCCACAGGTTGCAAAGGAACAGCTCTATCTTTGTATTTAATGAAACTTGTATTTTCTTATCTCTGACAACAGGATGGGGCATTCCTTGTCCGAGACTGCTCCATTAACACCAAGATCGAACCGCTGGTATTGGTTGTGTATCACGAGAAGAAAGTCTATAATGTAAAAATCCGTTTTATTGAAGCCACCAGGAAGTACGCACTGGGAACAGGCCAGCGATCAAATGATGTAAGTCGAGTTATGCAAATAAAGAACATTTATAGACGTACAGGTTAAAGCTTTATAGTTACTGCTCCTCACACCCTGTTTTTCCTCAGATGTTTGACTCGGTAGCAGACATCATCAAGTTCCACTCCATTTTTCCAATAACACTCATCAGTGGGAGAAACATGGCAGGAAGTAAATACCCAGAGAACTGTGTGCTGACATGTCCAGTTACCAAAAGGGATGTTGTCCAGCTCCTAAAGTAAAGTCTGCCCCTCTCAGCAAAGAAGAAAGAGACCCATCATCATTTGAAAATGCTAAAAAGATTATTGCGTACGTTATTTAAGGTGGGGTATAAATAATAATGATAAATAAAAGCAGGGATTAGCTTCTGTTGCAGCATTTATGACTCTACTAATACGATGACCTTAAAGTATGTATGATTTAATGTTGAATTAAAGGGTGATTTTTATCAGTCTGGATGCATTTTTCCATCTCTAGATCACAATCACGCATAATAACTGATTTATGCAAAACTATTTTAAATACAGTTTAAGATTAATACATTTCATAAAGAAGTTATAGAGGGGGAACTATCTGCTGGTCTAAATGAAGTCATAATCATTGTGATTTTTTTTGCATTTTGAAAAGAATTCCATGAGAACAAAGTTGCTGTTCAGAAGTTGCCTTTATTGAGGAGGCTTTGTGAAAGATAGCAGAAAGGGGTTCCAGCCTGGGTCGCCATTTGTTCTAGAAGGCTTGATATTCAACAGGAGGCCTTTCTTATTCCATTTATGCATATTTATGAAAGCTCAAATATTTCTCTTGTGTAAATGGAGTAAATATCAATGGAGAAAGTACGAATAAAAGTTTCCCAAAGCATCTTTTATAGTTGTTTTTATCAGCTGACAATATCAGACTAGATTTAAAGGAATTCAAAAAATAGGGTAAATGTCTAGAGGAGGCTACTGTACCGACCTCTTTCTAAATGTGTATAAAAAGATCTAAAGGAAAGTGGAACCATCTAAACAGCAGAGTCCTACAGGATGCGTAACTTAAAAGTTTTTAATGATAATAATAATCTCATAATGGAGAAATTCCTACTGAGGGACCCAGAGCGGAGGCTGTGAGCATCGAACCAGGTACTTGCAACCTTCTTGGGGTGTAAGTGCACTGCCATAACCACTCCCTGTATGACTAATACATTTTTCAAATAGCACATATTACTTCTCAAATCAGCATTATGTGAGATTTATTTTTCAAATTTCTCAAACCATTTCAGAATGTATTCTGATGCCTATTTTAGATTTTTTAATTGATCTGGTTTGGCGGTTAGAAGAGTTTGACACAGCTGCTGCAGTAAGTTTTCAGTTTTTTCTGTTTACTTTGTTTTAAGGCGAGTTCCACCGGATGGGGTCTTGTATGAACATTTACTGCAGGAGCTCCTCAAACAGGTTTTACTCTCAGATTTCAAGAGGTCGTGTCTGGTATTTGAAGAAAGACAAGTGTGAGAAGGAAGGGCCGAAATAGTGCCACACCCTAAAAAGGTCGTTTTACATTTTTTTGCATTAGGTAAATAATAAATGTCATTTCTGAGAATAAGAGTAGTAGAGGTAATCTCCTCTCAAAAGGAAGTGAAACACCACAAAACACATTTGTCATATTTCCCCAGGTTTTATTAGAAAAAAAGTGGAATTACACAATTTTTATAAAAGCATGGAATCACCATGACAATGAACGATGAGCATGTGTTAAAAACAAAAAACACGTTTGGACTACATGACGACCAATTCTAGCACAAATGAGGACCGACGTAAAAGGCAGGGTAAAATTATCCGACCCTTTGAAATAATTTATGACCGTGACTGCACAGCAGCTTCAGATACTGCAGCGTAAAAAAAACAATAGGAGTTGGCAGTCATTCTCTGTCAAGTATGAACACCATGTTTTCTTTTATACATATATATGTATTTATATATGTATATATATATTTATATGACTTGTATATTTAGATATATTTACAAAATGTCATTCAAAACAAATGGAATAGAAAATGTTCATTAATTGTAATGTATGTAGGCAACTAAAAGCTATGAATGTAATCATAGGTCTAGCACCTTATTAGAAAGGATTATACAATAATAAACAGATATACACAGATGTGATGATGCTGCCATAAGAAGAGAAACAGAAGAAGAAATCGGGTCAAAATATTATGCAAGCACAAACCTAAAATATATACAACAGTTTAGAGGTGTTCAAGAATAACATTTAGCATCATCAACACAGGAAAAAATGTTTAAAAATGAATCTGTGGGTTTATTTTTGTTTTCATACAGTTAATCTGCTTTTTCAATTAGGTTAAATGTGAAATCTAAAAGCAGAGGTTCAACTTAGGAGGGAAATTGAAAAAACTTTTTTTTTAAAAGTGTTGAGTACATGTTAAGTTTCTTTCCAAAATAAAGCGCTTTTACTGTACAGTACTTCACACATTGTCAGATAAATAATGCACTGTGACTGAGACTTTTGAGCTGCTGTTTTAGAGCATGAAACTAGACTTAAATAAATCAGCTGTTCGGTTTATTTCCGTTGACACCTTTCTCTGACCTTACTGTTCAGTTTAACTTTTCTCCCTCCAGTCACGAAGCTTTCATCCACTTTCTGGCTACGTTCAGACCCAGAGGTAAACTCTTGACTCATAAAACCCAACTATTACCATTTCTGATCACTCTTCAGACAAGTTCAAGTACACAGCGATGATGAAAGAAACCAAACACGCATTAAAGCAAACACACAGGAGAGCCGAAGTTTAAATTTCCCATCTCACACCGTACAGACGTTGATGCTTTTCATTTGACAAACTCAGCAGTGACTGAAGAGCTTCTGAAAAACAAAAGGTTTTCAAGGAATGCCTGAACACGTCATCTTCGCACATTGTGAATGAAAAATATGTTTAAGACAAATAACTTGACTCTGAATCGGAATATTTGCAATCAACATTTAAAGTGTTTAATTGCCGCTGGATTTCATACTTGTAGCCTAAAAGGTTTATGTGTAAAAGGCAACATGAACACCTGTAATGTAACAGTTTTCATGCAGCTGCATGACCGTTTGACGGAAACGACAGTTTAAAATAAAATACAAGCAATAACACTTTAAACTGACCTTCTGGTTTCTTAAACAGCACTTAAACTTTGTGGAATTTCATGGGTTCTGCAGTGGCACACAGTCCAACTCCTGGGCATGAAAGCATCAACCAGCATTGCACTTAAATATTCAGAGTAATACATATACAACATTGATTTTGTTTTTGCATTATGAAAATAACTGCCTTATAACTTTAAAGATAACACTACTTGTATGATAAATGTCCGGTCCACAGATGGAGCTCTACATTCAGGGGAAGTCTCTGACAGTGCATCCCATCACTTCGTAGCTCTGTCCGATCCCTTTGCTTAGCCGCATTTTTAAAATTTGGCACTTTGGAGTCGCCTCTGAGGCTCCCGTGTCTGAAATAGAGTCTGCCCTTGTTCTCTGAACACAAGTCCGGGGCTTGGGGTGATTAAGAACCACCACAGGCTGGTTTGGACCAGGCCGCTTTACCGGCTGGTCCTCCTTCAGCGGCATGGGGTAAATGACCGTGCAGTCGTCAAGGCCGCCCGGGGGATGCTGGGGCTTGCACCTGGATGTTCCAAGCTTGAGTCCTTTCTTGCTTTTTTTCCACACGCCGACCTGAACCCTTTTCAGAGAGATGGTCAAGAACCTGGAGGAATGGTCCTCCTTGCTTTTGTCCGTCTGCCGTAGGGGGTCTACAGCGTTGGGCGTCTCTGCAGGTGAAGCAGCTGCAGAGCGTTCACATGTGGAAGACTTTAAAGCAGGACTAAAGCTGCATTTCTTAACGTCTGTTTTGGTTCCACCTTCTTCCTTCTTGATGTGAATGTCGATTTGTGCGACGGGTGGTACCTGCTGGTAATCTTGCTCTTCCACTTTTAAGCACTGGGAGGCCTTCTGTGTAAGCGACGCTTCACAGGTGAAGGCCTCATTTTTAGCGACCGGCTGAACGCTCTGGCCTGATGCTGGTTCCTTACGCGTCTCCTCTTTGCCATTTCTACTCTGATCTTGACTGGTGCTGTGTTTTTTATCCATCACTATCCCTCTAAGAGCCATCACCAGCGGCTGAATCGGACCTTTGCCCCCTTCTGGCTGCTCGCTTAATGAAAAGACAGAGGAGATGACTGGAAAGCTCCGAGGCTCTGAGACCCCTCCATTTTTTGCTACACTTTTACATCTGACTTCCTGGATACAGGGGGATATTTTAGTGTTTGTGTGACTGGATAGGACGGAGGGTTTTACTGATAACGGTTTCATTAGACTTTTCGATATTGGAAACTTCTGATTTGCAAGGTTGTCGTTACTGACTGAGACGGCAGGAGGTCTGACTTGGACGGCTTGAAGAACGATAGACCTTAAGGACTTAGAAGCTGGTGTGCTTTGCTGATCCAAACACACCACATCTTTGTCTTCTTTAGAAGCAGCGTTGCTCCTGATGCAAACTTCTTTGGCTCCTAGTTTGGCAGACGCTGTCCCTTTCTGGACATTTGACCCTTTCTGGACATTGTTGGTGTCAGACAGTCTCCTGGGTGGAACACACTTAGAGAGGTCCATGGTCATATTGTTCCTCTCATCTACAGCCCTCTGGGGAATCTTTGCACCCACGCTGCCTGGATGCAGAGGGACACTCAACCTGATAGGGACTCTGCCCGATATGACGCTTGAAGACGAAGAGACAATGTTCGCAGGTGCCGCTTGCGTAACTCGAATCCCGCTATTTGCTTCCCGCACAGGAGTGACGATAGTTTTGGGAACTTTGTTTGGGACAACTGCGTCACAATCCAGGTTGATTATTTCTGTGGAAGGCCTCTTTACCGTGACCTTCTCTTTATTTGACACGTTGGTTGAGCTGTTGGGAATCCTTACAGCGACGTTCATCTTTGCCTTTGCCTCATTCGGTTTCCTGCTGCCTGGGCACATGCCAGCGCTCACAGACCTTGCTGTATTCGGATGAAGTAGCGTAGACGACAGGGACTTCTCCGGGCCGGAGTTCGGATTTGCCGTTGGTTTTGTGTTCTTGATCACCGATTCGTTTTCTTGTTGCGAGACAAACCGCAGTTTTAGCTCCTTCGTCCCGTTAACAGTTTTGACCTCGACAAGCTCCACCAAGCAGCCGGCAGGAATGTTCACCTCCTCCGGTAGAGACACTGTGAGGGCCCTATTGGGCTGAAAGAGTCCGTTCAAGTGAGAGACGCGTTCAGTGTTCCCATTAGTGGTGTTGGCTACGTTTACATCAAGTGTTTTCCCCAGTCTGGCAGGGGGTGCAGTTTGGCTGGGCACAGCAACACGTATAACAGGCCGAGGAGGCGGTGACAGCAGTGGATCAGCAGTAGGCGCACTTGTTAAGGCACTGGAGACCGTGACCGGAGGAGCTTTTGTGGCGCCGAGCTTCACAGGTCCATGATTTGTACCGTTACTATGCAAACGGTCAATGTGCTTCACCAGACACAACCTCCTCATGTAGCCCTGTCCACAGTGGGGGCATTTGAACGGGTACTTAGCCGTGTGCTGTTTCAAGTGCTCGTTCAGCTCCGCCTCGCTGAAGGACACAGCGTTGCAATAAAAACAGTAAAACCTAGTGCCGTGTTCGATCATGTGCTTCTGGAGAGCCACAGGGTCTGTAGATGCAAATCCACATTTCTCACAGTTCATCACCTTAGAGGTGACCAAGAGACGCTCGAGCGGCGCATTCAGATGGACGCCGTTCACAGAGGACGGTAAGCTTTGATAGGTCACAGGTTTCATGGCGGATTCTTCTGCTCATCTGGTCTCACAGGTCATCAAAGTCTTTCATTCCATGAAGCTGAGGAATGTTCACCTGACAACCAGGGTTCGGTCCACAGGAAGGGTCCCTCTGCCTGCATGGAGGAGATCAGAACAGAGAGCTGTAACACCTGAAGCATCCAGGCCACCTTACAGAGCACAGTGCATCCATGAAGAGGAGGCCAAAATAAAGCCCCTCCCCCTCACATTCACATTCAGCTAATGCAGCCTTTTCTGCACACTTGTTTTCAAAAATACAGATTTTTTTCCCCCCCATCCTCACAGAAACCATCCTGTTAATCGGTCTCAAAACATGCATACCTACTAGCAACAGCTAGCTGCAGCCAGGAGCTCTCCTCCTTTGAATGTAAGGAAAAGGCCCTCCCTAACAAACAGGAGCTTCTCCCGGACGACGCTTCGCTTTGCCAATGTTTATGTTTTCAAACCAGTCAAGTCTCTAAAATGCAACTGATTTGACTTTAGTTCAACAGCTTATGAGCTTTAACGTCGTTTCAGAGGCGGGGAAAGAGGAAAAATAATACCTGAAGTCGAGGTGATTTTAACGCTTAACGCCGCAGCAAATGGATCCCCCCTGAGTTAGCTTTGCTTTAGCCGTTAGAGGCTAACGGTAGGATGCAGTTACGGAAATGGCTACTTCTTTCAAAATAAGAGCATGGAATTTGAATAAAGCTGTATTTTTTCTGATTAACGTCTCGTTTTACTTTTACAAGTTTCCTCCTTTTAAAAATATAAAATCGTGGCGTTTAAATCGATAATGACATTACGTAAGTAAAAAGACATAAAACTTACTGACTAATTAAGTGTTGAGGGGATCGTCTATCGTCATTGCACTACTTTGCACTACCTTGTACATTTTACTTTTTATATCTATTTTTTTTATTATCCATATTTTTATCCTAAGTGTATATATTAGTATAATTTTTGCATGCCTTATTCCCCAGTGTTTTTAGAGATTTTTATAATTTTATTTACCTATTTCATATTATTATTTACCTATTTCATATTATATGTTTCATGTTGCACGATTGTACCATAAAAAATTCCTAGTTGTGAACTCCTTCACTAACAATGGCAATAAACCCGATTCTGATTCTGATTTATTCACATTTGAATAAGAATAAATCCTGCCGTTTTAAACATCGCATCTCTCTCGGTGTTTTATGCGGGTTGAAATTGACAGAAGAGTTAACTGAAGGAGCTTTCTTATCTTAAACCAATTTTTTATGACAAACTTGAATAATAGATAATATATATACCGACCCCATCCAATGTGGGGTTTTTTTGTGACAAGTCTTTTATTGTGACAGTTCTCCACCGAAGTTCCGTTCAAACTGCGTTGCCTTGACAGCGGACTGTGCTTGCGCTAGTGCGATTCTCGAAGTGGTCAACGCACACGTCTATTTCTCGTCGTGAAATCTACTACATAAGACGGTGCCGAAGCTTCCAATGAACGTAAACACGATTGGACAGTTATCTGTCACAGTGACAGCTGGAAACTTTTTAAACACGACTAGCTATTTAGCTCATATGTTAAGACTTTGATGTTTTCCTTCGTTGACAGGGATCTGAATAAACATATGGCGGTATGCAGTTTTTAAAAATCCGTAGAGTATTCTATGTGTCTATACAAAGGTGAGTGTTTAATGTTTCCAACAGTTGACATTCCCGATCGATGAATCTTTACTTATTTTAGCGTATTTAGATCATAGCTGTGAGCTATATTTTATGGATGAGCTGCAGCAGATCATTCTCTCTCTTGTTATCGCCATGAGTATTGTTGACAGCTTATTTCTAGGATTTGCACGCCATTGTTGCAACTCACAATGACACAGCAGAGGCTTTCACTTGACCCTCCCATTCTGCCCCCTGCATCATTCCCCTGCCCTGCTTCCTGGTTATGGCAGTACTCCTGAGCAAGCTGGCTGTTACTAAACCTCCTGCTTGGTTCTCCGTCCGAAACTTCTTCCTCTCCTCTCCTCGCAGGCACGAGCTCATCCGCCGCAGCATGGCGTCAGAGACTATCCGCTTCGACTTCCTGGTGGTCGGCGGCGGCTCCGGAGGTCTGGCCGGGGCCAGGAGAGCTGCGGAGCTCGGAGCAAACACAGCGGTGATCGAGAGCCACAAACTCGGAGGTACCTGCGTGAGTAAAAATGAAAACCCTGTCACACACACACATTTTTTATTGTTATTTTATCCAGCTCCTGACATGCAGTGCGCTTCCTAAACCATCTGACACATATTAACTTTACAAAAGTGAGATATTGTCATTTCAATTATGGTGAGAAGATGCATAGTTCTGTAGGAAGTTCCTGGCCTTTTTCCTCTTTTATTTTATTATTTTGCTATATTTGCATTTGCAACAACTACTCAAATTTTGCCCTTTCCTTGCATGCAATTCGTCAAATAAATTTATCTTGCCCCTAACCCCTCATGCCAAAATCAATTAAATATTTTCATAATTGCACAGCAGGGGCTGCTCTGCGGTGCACCTTGCAGCGAGGCGGTTCTGGGTTCGATTCCGATTCCTGGCCCGGGGTCTTTCTGCATGGAGTTTGCATGTTCTCCCTGAGCATGCTTGGGTTCTCTCCGGGTACTCCGGCTTCCTCACACAGTCCAAACTGATTGTTAGGTTAATTAGCTTCTCTAAATTCTCCTTAGGTGTGAGTGTGTGCGTAAGTTGTGTGTTTGTCTCTGTGTTGCCCTGCGATGAACTTGTGACCTGTCCAGGGTGTACCCCGCCTCTCACCTGTAGACAGCTGGAGATGGGGACCAGCAACCCTCGCGACCTTGCTCGGGATAAAGCGTGTCAGATAATGGATGAATGGATAATTGCACACTCTTTAGGAAAACGTTGCTTGAAAATGTAAACAACAAAAAAAAAAAGAGAAAATTAAACAGTTAAAACTAGATTCCTGCTGTAGATTACATTATTACTGTAATTTTTAAGCTGGATTTGAAGTACTGTCATTTCTTTAAAAGCTCTTTAACCACATGCCTAAAATGATTGCCTAACAGGAGGTCCCAGTTGCATTCATTTCCTAGTTTTGCTATTGCCTAAAGTAATTGGTTCCTATCACACTACTTTCTTTCATTACTTTTTAGTAGTTTGCTTTACGATCATCCATTTTAATGCATGAAAGTTTCATTAATGGTGTATTAACTTGTTTCATATATTTTAAGCAAACATTAAAATTCCATAAAAATCTAAAGCTTATTATAAATTTTGATCACTCAGGCGTTTTCTGTTAGAATTTCCATGCATTCAGTAGTTGTAATCAGACCACACTAAATAATTAAACCTTTTTTCTTCTTCCTCCCAGGTCAACGTTGGATGTGTTCCTAAAAAGGTAACCTTTCTTTCTCTGGCTCATGTGATAAGGTCATGGTTGGACTAATACCCTGCAGAATTTAAAGTCACACCATCTTTCTGGGCTTTCACAGGTTATGTGGAATGCAGCCGTTCATGCAGAATATCTTCACGATCACAGCGATTACGGCTTTGCAACTGAAAACGCTCGCTTCAGTTGGGAGTAAGTTTCATTGTCTGATCTGTCTTGAGGTCAGCTGCAATGAGGTCTTTTGAAAGCTTGGAGGGAAGTTCCTGAAAGAAATCTGTTCTTTTGCAGACACAAATCTTCCTTTAAAATACTTCCCCTGTTTTCATTTTGTTGAGTCATTATGACTGTTAGAGATAAGTCTTTGGAGGGAGTGGTTCAGTGCAGCAAGCATACAGTAAAGGATTGTTTCTCCTATTCCTGCCTGAATCCTCAATATGTCTCAGTGGGGAAAATAGTTTCAAAGGAGCAAAGAAAAAAAAGAAAATCTTACAGGCTCTACTACACATGTAAAAAGAAAAAAGAAAGCAAAGTGTTAGCAAAAATGTTACTGTAACTTTTAAAGGAATTTCAAGTAGACAAAGTTTTGCCTTTAGTCACTTTCAGGACTGAAAGATAAACAGGCACTTCAGTCTAGTAAAAAGAGATCAACTTCAAAGCTGAAAGAAATAACCATGCTAAAGCGGAGTTGGCGGTTAAATTCCAGGGCAGTGAAGGTGAACAAAGAGTGTTTTGGAGATCCAGAAGCTTGTTGATTTTCTCTCTGAGGTGCTGTAACATAACAAGGCAATATAAAAAGAAAAAGAGCTTCTGAATAGAGGAACAACACATGTAACAAAGCTCCTAACCAGCTTCCTAGAGTCCTTTAGCTGAGAGCATGGGAGCTCCGCCCAGTCTGGAAAACATTGAAGACCTTAAAGTCACAGACTGGATTTCAACAACAGGAAATGACAGCGCAGGCAGGAGTTTAACTGCTTACAAACTACATCCATTGCACTTATTTATTATAAAGTAAGATTTTATGTTGTCTTTTTTTTGCTTGCAGGACTCTCAAGGCGAAAAGAGATGCCTACGTTTCTCACCTAAACCGAATTTATCGCAACAACTTGGACAAGGTGAGTGGAAGCTCTCATGTCACAAGTTAGCTTTGTTTTACCTGTTTAGTTTTTGGTATGCTCACAGAAGAAAAAGGGCAGAATAAATAAACAATAAAAAACTAATTGGCCGGCCTCACGATGTAGTCCTATCTGATGGTTTCTAGGCTAAAATCGAAACCATTCAAGGCTATGCCAGGTTTACCGATGACCCCGAGCCCACTGTGGAGGTCAACGGCAGAAAACTGACAGCGCCTCACATCCTTATCGCCACAGGGGGGCAGCCTTCTGTTCTGAGTGACGATGAGGTTCCTGGTAAGAACTGCTTCAATTACTTTTTCTGAAGATAAAGAATTTCACATCTGAACAGTTTTTGTTCTGTTGATCCGACTTTAGGGGCAAGTCTTGGCATCACCAGTGATGGCTTTTTTGAACTCGAAACCCTCCCAAAGTAAGCGTTTATTCCTTTTCACAAATCCGTCAGGCACCAGTAGGTATCCGTAAATAAAAACGCCGTTCCTCCTTACAGACGCAGTGTGATTGTAGGCGCTGGTTATATCGCTGTAGAAATGGCCGGTATTCTTGCCACTCTGGGATCCAAAACGTCGCTGGTTATTCGACAGACGGGGGTAAGAACCAACACAAACTTACCGCACTAAAGGCTCTAACAGTGTACCATCATGTCGTAACCGGTGTATGCTGTCTCTGTGTAGGTTCTGAGAAACTTTGATGCATTTATAAGTGCAAACTGCACCAAAGAACTGCAGAACAACGGGATCGACCTGTGGAAGAACTCCCAGGTGAAGTCTGTGAGTAAGACAGACAAAGGCCTGGAGGTGACCATCGCTACCAAAGACCCAGAGAAAAACGATGAGAAGATCAGCATTATTGAAGAGGTGGAGTGTCTTCTGTGGGCTATAGGAAGGCAGCCCAACACCTCTGGGCTGAACATCGGGAGCCTGGTAACCATTTACGCAAACACACTCACACACAGCTCTAAAGATGTGTAGAAGTCTTAAAAGGTCCTGGGGGGGGTTACATTCCTAAACCTATCATACATGTATAAATTAATGAATGAATCTGATTGTTTGCACTGCTTGTTCTTCATCAATGTGTGATAAAACAAAAAAACTCTAATGTAATATGTAGCCATGCTGTGCTTTTGTATCGTCTCCCAGATGCAAGAAGGTAAACAAGCTTTGAAAATGGTGTATTAAAAGTATATTTTTTTAGTTTCTATAAATTATGTTTTGTTTTGTTTTTTGTTTTTCAGACTGACACTTAGCCTAGCAATCTAGCCCTACACGCCAGCAGCAAAATTATGTTTGCCTGCGAGTAGGCTTAGCCCCGAAAATTGCCCCAGCCCTTAGAACTGGCTAGCCAATCACAAGGCAGAGATGTGTTTTGAATTTTTGGCCTCAAAAGCAGGCGGGCTTTTAAGGGCATGACGACCAAGCTGCGCGAAGCGTCCACGACTGCGTTAGAAAATTAAGCAGATATATACTGATAATCTCAACTTACCTCGGCTATATTCTGCGGAAGAGCGACAGATAGTCTTTGCTTATCTGTGTTGTGGCGGAGCTTCTTCAAGTCTTTCGGTGTTTTCAAGGGAGTAGGCTCCCGAGCTTTCTTTTCAGCAGCTGTTCGTTCTGCTGGGGCGCCTGCTTCGACCTCGTTTTTAATCCATCTCCAATAAATTGGCAGATCTCTTTCCAATCTATTCAACTCCGACGTACAAGCTCGACAGACTCGATTGGATTTCCCCGGTGTAATCGAAATGTTCACTGCAATTTTCTGTAATCTTTCTGCCACTGACAACGGTTGATTTGAACTTAAGAAAAGTTGTGTACAGTGGTGTAGTACAGAATTCTTATTAAAGAATAAGGGTCTAATTTTCATTTAGCACAAGAATATCCCAGCAGGAGGCATGGCGGAGACAAATGTTCCGAATTCAAACAATCTGACATATATTTACCACATTAAAGTTAAAGACTGGGCTCAACTCCTGCAGAGCTAATATAAAGAGCCAACAAAGCTCCATCATTCAGTAGCAGCTCTTACTGCTGCAAGCCAACAATTTAATGGAAGTTGACATTCTTCTTCATTCCTACTCCAGGGGCTATATGTAGAGCTCCCCCTACAGGTTTGGTGGGAGACAGTTCAGTGGATATTAGCGACTTATAGCCCGGTGCGGCTTAAATATGCAAGTTTCCGTTTTTTCAAATAATTTAGTTGCAGTGGCTTCTAATGAGGTGTGCTCTATAGTCTGAAAAATACGGTACATGAAAAGAATGACTAAATGATTACAGATGCTACACTAGTCTCAATTTAAGGACAAATAGATAATTATTTGAGGTATTGACAATAGATGCACTTCATACCATCTCTAGACATGGCTGTCGACTGCATGCATGTATTGGCAGATGCATACATGCAGTACAAAAAAAAAATAGGAAATATCAGCCACAGATATGTGGCAGTCTTTCTTGACACCGCTATGTAGTTGTTTCTTGGTATCACCTCTCTCTGTTGATGAGAACTCACCACTGCTGTACTGCCTTCTCCACCCCTGTATTATAATCCATATAATTTACTACTAGGGGTGAGTACTGGCATAGGTGTCGCCCCCTTTAAATTTCATACAAAATCTCAAAACGTCTACAGGTCCGTAAAAGCAAAGAAAATGAAAAAATTATCTTATCCATATAGATTATTAGTCCTGATGGAAAAGCTGGTGAAAGTGGAGCATCTGTTGTAGTTTTCAAATATTATCTGCGTAGTTTTGAAGTGAAATTCCTAGATGAAGGGTGAAATGACCATGAGTGGTTTTATATATAAACTGTTTGGGTCAAAGTACTTATTCTTGAGGAACCCCACAGGTAATTTGAGTAGGTTTATTCCCAGTAAAGACATGCTCTGTGCCACAATTAAGTTGAAAGGGCAGTGGAAACGAGTCTGATGGGGTTCTGTTGATGATTTAAAACAACCACAGGATTAATTCTGTCAAAGCGCTCAAGATGAGCAGAATAAGGAGAGACGTGTAGCCATTACCTGCGCTTACCTGATGTATCTGTGCTGTACATAGATTGATAACCAAACAACAGTTATATCTGTGTATAAAGCCAGCTAGTAGAATGGTTTATCTAGAGAACATAAATGTTTTCCCATGGCAGTTCGACCGGACAGCACAGAAGTGCCGATATCTCTATGGCATTCCTTTAGATATTTTGGTAAGCTGAACATTATAGAGGGTTGATGACCAGTCGTGCTAAAGACTAGGATTATTCCCTTTGGCTTCATTAAAGGTCAGATTGAGCTTTAGGCACCAGGCTGTGAGTTGAGTATCCCTGTCCTTTAAGCTGTTTATTGAATCCAGTCAGACATCAGTGGCATCATCAGCAAACTTAAATACAAGGTTGGTTGTAAAGCTGAGGCAGAAATGATGTGTCAGCAGAGTGCTTGTTTCTGGTGTAGCACAACTGGAACTTTTATTTTCTCTCCAGTTTGAAGAGATCCAGATCCTACCTTAAGGAGGCCATATAGTGTTTCTTCTGGTGGTACTCTCCAAACAATTGGTTGTAGACAGCATATAGTGGTTGCTACAGATACATGGTGGCATCAAGATGTCTCACTTGGCCGCAGTCCTTCAGCAGTCTCTGCATATGTTTTTACGTCTCTTACCTTATGGTTTATTGTGCACGGTGGCAAGCTAAATATGGGTTCCTGTCCTACCTGTTAACCATTGGTTGGGAGGTATAATTAGAAGTCACTAGAAGCTCTAATCAACTAGAGAAGTAAATATAAGATTAACATTAGGCGCAGATCTCAGAGGAATTGCTGGCAGGTCAATATATGCGCCAGTACTGTATAAATTCCCAAATTAAAGATGTAATTTTTCTGGAATGTCTCTGTGACATTATGTCACTTCAATAAAAGATTCCTTGTTATATCTCTTCACTAAGGACTCACTCTTATTGAGGGAATCTCGTGTGTTAATTTTCAAACCCTATTATTTTAACCAAAAAGCCTTCACTGTTATTCAAGGCTTTTCTGTTCTGCTGTGTAAAGGTGCAAAGTCTACAGCAGTGGTTCCCAAAGTGTGGGGCGCGCCCCCTAGGGGGGGCGCAATGCCATTGCAGGGGGGGCGCGGGAAGCAGTATGGATGAATGAAGAAGAAAAAAAAAAAAAAAAAAAAAAAAACAGCGCTTGCTTGACTGAGCATAATGGACAGTTGTGACACTGCAACCCAGATTTGAGAAGATCTACAGCAACAAGCAGGTTCACTACAGCCACTGAAAAGATGGGAGGATTAGAGTACAAAGAAAAAAACTCCCAGGGAGCTGTTCAATGTTGTCACTCCATTTTGCACTGAGGCTTTTTTAATATATAGATTATAGCAAAGTTAAATATTGTTACAAATAAAAAAAAATAAAAATGTTTAAAATAACACAGACAACAAAGAATCCTCTTCTCATCTACAGTATAGAACTATGAAAAAAATACAGTTACACAAAAGTGTTCCACTGTAAAGATGGTGTAGTTTGTTTTGTTGCAACCTGAAGTGTGAAATAACCTTCAGTGGAGTTTGAAAACCAAATATTTGTATAGGTTTATTATATCTGGTTGAACGATGTGTGTTCAGTTGATTCTTTTTTTTTTTTTTTTTTTTTTTTGGGGGGGGGGGGGGGCGTGGAAATTTTATTGTAATCCAAAGGGGGGCCCAGAAGAAAATCTTTGGGAACCACTGGTCTACAGTAATGTTGCACTGGCTTGTCACCATAGTCCACCATAAATCTGCCCTTCAGACAATGTAAAGGAACTGTTTCAGAACCACAGATGAATCGTACAGCAATTGTCCAGAAGACAGTCGTGTATCAGTAAGGCGTCGCATTGGTATGCATGTTTGGTTTAGTAGGTGAACCTTCTGCTCATATCAAACACAGAGGTCAAGCTGGACGCATCTGTCGTTTAATCAGGCTATTATTGTTTATCATCTGTTTTCTACAGCAATTCTTCTAAATCCAAGTGACTTTAATTTATATACCAAACTGTATTGTCTACTCTTTCGTTTTTATAGTCGACAACACATGAGTTAAGTTAAGGAAGCTTCTTAATTATCTTAATTTCTACATAATCACTGTGTCTTCACCAACCTATTGATGTCTAGTTTTCTAGCACATATAAGTCCTCTGGGCTAAAAATGTATTTTTTTTTTGTTTTTCTTTTACTTAACATGTTAGTTAATGATTAACCTATTGCATCCATGTCTGACCTTTTGTCTGCCAGGGTTTGGATACCGATGAAAGAGGTCACATAATCGTAGATGAATTCCAGAACACTTCTCGGCCAGGGATCTACGCCGTGGGGGACGTTTGTGGCCGAGCTCTTCTCACACCTGGTAGGAAGCAGCGCCAGTAACACAAGTCACTTTAGAAAGGTAGTGTCTGATCTTTTAATCTTCTCTCCACGTTGGAGGGAATGTTCATATCTCCCCTTAATATGCAACCTAGGAGATTGACCCAGAGACGTTGCCGCGGTAAGGCGGCTACGTCCCGGCACAGCACTGCTCCCTTTTATTGGGTAGAAGGAAAAAAGTACTCTGACCATCAGCTGTTAGGGAATCCTTCTAAACCTGGTCACCTCATCTGTGCTTTCAAAGCCGACTCTCTGTCTGTTGGCTGGGCGGCAGCGTATGTGATCACCTGCCTCCAAGCATTTAGGGTGACATTTTTACAGTGCTTTTCTTAGGTATACATGAAAATAAGGAGTTAAATGTGGTTAAAAATGCAGTTTCAGCCGCCATTGCTTTCATTAAAAGTCTGTCTATTGGCCAAATGTTCAGGAAAATTCAGTCTAACATTTGTTGTAAAATGCGCCTGACCCGAGCCCTGGGAGAGGGAGCCTAGATGTCAAATTACTGATATGCTGGTTAAACAATGAGCACAGCATCGTACATTTCAATATCACAGTAGTAACCCTCTACACTGAATTAAAATGGCGAGGACCCTGACCCTAATCAGTATAAGGATTTCCTGTTTTTAACTTTTTCTCATAACATTCTGTGTATTTTACTAATGTTGTTAGTGCCCCTTTGTTTTTTTAGAAGCATTCTTTTTTTTTTTATCTCAGGGCCTGTTGTGGTTAACGTAGCAGTTAATGTTATTTCATTTGTTCTGCAGTTGCCATTGCTGCTGGCAGAAAGCTGGCTCATAGACTGTTTGAGGGCAAGAAGGATTCCAAATTGGACTACTCCAGCATTCCCACGGTGGTGTTCAGCCATCCACCCATCGGTACTGTGGGCCTCACAGAAGGTGAGCACTCCTAACATGATTTCACTGTCTGCTCCACAGTTAAAGGCACTTTCTTTAATCTCAGATTCTTGGTATATATTTATCCTAACCTTCATTGCTTCACTAAGCACCAAAGAGTTAAATAATTCCTTGTTCTGTTTGTCTCAGAGGAGGCCATTAAAGCACATGGAAAGGAGAATATAAAGATCTATAAGACTTCCTTCACTCCAATGTACCACGCCATCACCAGCAGGAAGAGCCAGTGCCTTATGAAGCTGGTGTGTGTGGGCAAGGAGGAAAAGGTAGGAGCAGTCTCTGGTTGATATACCTGTTATTTATTAATGTTTATTCTTAAAGTTGAACCATCTTATGTGTGCAGGTGGTGGGTCTGCACATGCAGGGCCTCGGCTGTGATGAAATGCTGCAGGGATTTGCTGTGGCAATCAAAATGGGTGCAACCAAAGGAGACTTTGACAACACGGTTGCCATCCACCCGACTTCGTCCGAGGAGTTTGTCACGATGCGTTGATGCAGACGTGGTCCCCACCCTTTGGTTCTCTGCATAACCCAGACAATCAGTCCATCAGCATATTCTCTCATCAGCCTGATCATTTTGTTTATTGAAACAACTTATACTATTTTATATATACATTTTCATAATTTTTTTTGCATTAAAGTGACCTTAATTGTAAACAGTGTTAATATTCTTTTCACATCATTCTTACCCTAATCAAATTTAAGTTTGGCACCTATTGAATTGTTGTGAGATATGACCTATGATAATGAAAAATGATGTAAAATAATGTACAAGAATTGTTGTCAAGAAAATGGCTGGATAATCAAATAATCTCCCTCTTAGAGTTTGTGTTTGACTTGTCAAATGATGTAATTCATTATCATACCACAGTTGCCCTTTACACACCATTTCAGTGCAAAGTCATAACTGATATACTCTGTAGAGTTCGACATATCCAACAAACCTGAAGATATTTCCTTTTTTTTCTTAAATCTTGGGATTATTTTGTCATTTGTCGACCACGCCCTTTGTTATCCAAGGTAAAGAGCCTCTCCCTTTTTGTGCTTAAAAATGAATTGGGTAAGGCAGTGACTCAATGAATCCATTGAGCTGTGTTCCTGCTCAAACACATTCTTTTCCTCTGTTACATATTTTAATAGCCTTGCATATAGAAGGCCTGTAATGCTTTGTTACTAGTGAGCAGATTGATGAAAATATTAAGAATTTGTTATTACATAATGTTTCAAAAAAATAAAATAAAACTAGACATCTTTAATGCAAGCACTTAAAATATTTAACCACCTTATTTTTTGTTTACAAATTATGTTTAAGGAGGGACATTTACTTCCATTTAACATGGAAAATTATCTACAGAAGCATATGATTTATATTTCAGTCTGATATTTAGTTAAATGTACTTTAAATAAGACTATATGAAAACCTTAGGCAAAATGTGTCAAACCACACCTATGAATAAAAGTAGGGGTTTCCCCATACAACTTTTTCATTTCCGATACAAAAGCAATATTGCAGCTTTGAGAACTGACCAATAACAATTTGACCTGATACAATGAGCATGAATCATACATGATTTGATAACTTATTTTGTACCTTAGAATTTTAGAAAATGCTTAATCAAGTGAGAAAATTATACTCAACAAGAAACAAAGTATGAGGCAACCGACCCGTGTAATGTTAAAAAAATAAGGTACAGAAATGTTGAACAGACACAGTTTTTATATATCAGCTCGGTTTTATCAGAGATTTTAGATGCAAGCTGATATAACCTGATATTGGTTTTTCAGCTGAGATATTAAAATCGGTTAAGGAAATGTTAAAGCCTAGTCTTAATTTACTTTCTTTTTTTTTAATGGCTTAAAACATTCATGGATTTCTGAGTTCTAGACATATTTACACATCGTTTTGCAAGATTTTTCTTTTTTACCTCACACTAAATAGTTTGGAGAAATCAAGGCATTAATTCACAGGAGAAGTTAGTTTTAACAAAGGTCATTGCAAGCACTTGCGTCGGCAAACAATTTCTTAGAAATAAGTGTGAGGGTTCATTTATAGTTTGCATATCTTTCACTGGAGGGTGAGGGGGTCACGCTGGTCTATGTACTGTTCTTCAGTATTAAACTGATGCCCAAAATGTTTTATTTTTAATATGTTTTAATAAAATACGATTGTAAGTATTGGCAACAATAATAGATTTGAAAGGTTTTTAGTGCCAGTTACCATCAAATAGGGATGGTGAAAATCAGCATTTCTATTAATACTTTTAGGGAGGTTGATCAAAGAATAAGTACATGTGGTAAACCTGTTAAAATGTACAAAATTGTGAATGACCGTTAATAGAATATTTTAAAACCAGCACAATTCTTTGAGATACTGGCCACCAGGCTGTGCTGAAAGCAAAGTTTTTTTTTCAGCCAGCACAGAGAAAGATGGTAAGGTAGGTGACAAAAAAGTTACAGCAGCAATATGTGACATCTGACAGTTATCCACATAACTATAGATGTTGGAGATCAGCCTGTTTTCCAGTGTAGTCCTGTTTCTCTGACTGTGACTGGCTAGATGTGCTCTTTTCATCCTCTGACATGGGAGTTGGCTTGGAGCTCGTCTGCCTGGCTGGAGGTTTCTTTCTGTTAAAAGGGAGTTTTTCCTCTCCACTGTCGCTACAAGCATGCTTGGTGTGAGGGATTGCATTTGAGTCAATGAGTCGATGCAATCAACTGGTTTTCCTTAAACTTTGAATCAATTTGACTGTATGATCTGGTGAACTATAAAGTGCCTTGAGATGACTTGTTGTGAATTGGTGCTATATAAATACACTGAATTGAATAAATATAGTTTTCATCGATAAGGCAACTAGTTGAAAACTTTTTCTCTCTTTCTATCCCATATGTTAAGAGAAGAAGTTTGCCTTCTTTTTACTGGAAATTAGACTGAAACCTTTACTTTTGTCAGATGCAACTGAGGTTGAGAATCTACAGGAAATTGATCGTTTTGGAAAAGGGATCACTCCAAAAGTTTTGTAAACCTCATTAGTTCTCCATTGTTAATTCTTTGAATCCTGTCAAAAACCTTTGGGTTAAGCTCAAGAAAAGTATATAATATAGGACTCTAGCCTCTTGATTAAAAGAGAGTTATGATTGTCATCTCCTCTAGATCTTTATCCTCCATTGAATTAATGTCTTTACTATCTGTGGATATATTAAATATTTTAACTCAATAAAGCCGGGCTTGTCATCTCATATTTTTCCTATATTTAATATAAAAAAGCATGTAAGAATATTGTCTTTTTCGTTATAAATGTATAAAACAATTTATGAACATTAGCAGTTTTTAAATATTTTAACTTTTTTAATCATTTTTTCCTCCATGTCCCTTTAGGGGCTCCGTATTATCTTGCGATACCAAATATGTGCGACTTATCTCCACTTAAAATAAAACATATATAAAAAAGGAGGGAATAAATTTGACCTTGTCGCACGTTATTTTACAGGATATCGCGATATTCTTTTCATTCAACGTTGAACCCGAACGGACCAATAGAAACTCACGCGGGACTTCCGTATAACAAGTCACGTGGTCTGATATTTGTAGTTTTTTTTCCCCCTCTGTGTCTAAAGCGACGTTGGGAGCTATTCGTAAAATGGAAACATACTATGCAGAACAAGCTTCAACATAGAAAGGTATCGCTATTTGTATTAACAGTTTATAGACGTATCTGATAGTCGGCTGCTATTGAGTTGTCCTAATTTAGACGTTAAGGGACCTGTTATGCCAGAGGCTAACGATGCTAGCTGATCATGCTAGTTAGCTGTGGAGCTGTTTCCACCGGGTTGTTTTATCAGAGCACAACGAAACCGACCTATTCCCATCTAATTTGAAACAACTTTCAAGCTAATAATAACTGACAGCTTCATAAATTATGTTAGTTTGTCTTTATCCACGCTAACATTGCTAATTGTTGCGATCCCGAGAGTATCTGAGCGTTAATCTGTTTGAAAGGGGGTTAGGTCAAGTTGGCAGGCAGGTTGGTTATGCTAACTCTACCTTGACCGGGATATCTGACAATCTGCAGAGCAAATTCCTGCACTTCAGCTCCAAGCCCCGCTGCAGAGAGGATGTTCCCCAGCCTGGCCCACAGACCATGGCATGTGTTTTGCAGAGTGTCCCTGCAGCGCAGGTCCTCACTGCACCACTGGGCTCCTAGGTTTCCTCCAGGTGAGCTGATGTTTGCTTTGAACCAGGTTATATTGGGTGAAGTTTACTCATCTCCATGCCAAGTTTATCTGATGAATCAAAACAACTCATTTTATGATTTACTCTGATCTCTTGATGGCTTCCGGCTCTCCATTTGCTTTATTATAGTAGTTTGATATTAGCTCAGTATAAGATTTACACTCACTAACGAGGCAGCTAATCAGAGTAATTGGACACACAAGGTTTTAATCTTCCTCTGGCCTTTTCACGTTTTTCAGTCATATTCTTGATTCTGTTTATCTCTTAGAAGAAGAAAAAGTTTAACTTTGAAACATTTTTTGTTTAATTTCTGTAATTTGCCAAAAAATTCATGTGATTTTTGCACAGCTTCTGTCGGAGTTAAATAACATGCTGATGTCATTTTACATATCTCTGATGTTGCTGCTGTTTTCAAATATCCATTACTGTAAAAAATGGTCCATAGCTGTATATTGGTTATTTATTCCCCAGGTGCACAGTATTTAAATTGTTAAAACACTTTATAGTGCAGTATTTTATTTGTTTATTTTTTTTAACTCTTCACTATTATGTTATTTTTATACACTCTTCTAAGGTCCACATTTGTGTGACTATTTTTGTGTCTTTTGCGGCTGTAAACTCCAGAATTTCCCCATTGTGGGACAATAAATGGATTTTCTATTCAATTCTAAAAATGAATGAGAACTTTTAGTCTTCTAAAGTATTTCTCATTTTGTTTCAAAACTAGAATACCAATATTTAGACTGCACTATATACTACACAGATATTGTCAGACGTATACTTTGAATGCTAATATAGTCAATCTCAATGTTGTATATGCCCTCATCTGGCAATTATTAAGATGGGAATAATGATAAGAACGAAATAATAAAAAATTAGCTTTTGTTTTCTTTGCAAGAGAGACATAATCTTCTGTAGATGGGACTGCCTTTGAGTTTGGCAGCAGAGTTTCTCATGAAGTGTATTTTTTTTGTGTGTGTGCTTTTGCCACTGTGAGAGCAAGAGCAAATTTCTGTTGTTGTACACAGTAAGCTTCAGTCATTTAATATGTTAGAGGCATAGACTGACTCAAAACTATTGCAACTCAAACACTCCAGAATGATTTTATTACTCTAAATACACATTTGGCAATAATGGCTTTAAAACTACATTTTTTGTAAAAGCCTGCTGTGTAAATCAGAACCTCATTATTTCTGTTTTCACTGGCATTGTATGTTTCTCTGTGGAAAAAAAAAAAAAAAGCTGGAGCTTATCTGTAATGGTCCTCTGTTATGCCCAGGTTGGCAGGGTCGTGGCGTACGCAGCCTACGGTTCAGCCTTCCAGACTCACGTTTGGCCTCTTTGGGGCCGACCCAGGTGCAGTATTACTCTACCTCTGGTGATGGTAAAGATGTTCCTCCAAAATCAGAATCAGCTGATGCCCCCTCAGCAGAAACCGTGGCATCTGGTGCAGCAAAAGCCCCCCCTAATTCAACAGGTAAACCTTGCAGTTTAATGTTTTACTTCCACCTGATTGCATGTTGTTCACTTCAAAGTGATCTAATCATGAACATCGAAGCTTCATTTTTTTAAATAATATTGTTTCTCCCATAGATAAAGCATCTCAAGTGCTGATGAAAGCTGAGACAATTCAAGTTAAAGGTAACAAGTCACATTGGTGCATCATTCTTTTCAAACATAGTTAAATAGGGTTTCCATAATAATTATTTATTTATTTCTCATTCATTTTTTTCTCCGCACA